ATACAATTAAACCGCTGACGGCTTGTCATCAGTGGCCATTGCTCGAAACGAAATTCTTGCATTTCAACAGAGCATCGTAGTGTTCTTGGAGCGTCAAAGTACATTAATTTTACCGGAGATAAGATGTGGTCATTTGGAATGCATCTTTCCTAACTATAAAATTCAAATTTTATTTAGCTCAGTTTACTGAGTATTTTCTAAAAATCTGTGATTGCTATTTGTGATAACATGGCATTCTTTATTTTTTTCCTCCTCTATAATTCCTATATATTTGTGAGATTTTATCAATTTCTGACAATTTATTTCTTTTGCCATAAATAAAAGAAATTAGTTTGCTGTAAAAGTAATACGGGCACAAACAATACATTGCACAGTATCCTAGCTAGCATGTTTTGCTTAATCGCGACAGGTGCATTGCTGCAGTAACCACCATAAAGTAATTCATTAAAAATGTATCCTTTTCACTCAAAAGACAAATCACATTGCCGTCTCTAGTTCCAACGGACGTTCAACATCATCATCATCAAGCGCCTAGCTTACTGCCTCTCCACAACCCCCGATCTTCAACAACATATTTCAGTTCGTAGCCTGACACACCTTCATAAGAGTAAAGTAAAGATCCCTTTACACGCCCTTAGGCCAATCGGGCATATGGGAAGAGCACCCAAATTTTTACAGACCAATCGGCACACGGTGAGTAATGTGGTCAGCATTACGTCGGCCGTCTTTACTTCCCCAGGACAGCCATCCTGGTACGCATTTGAGGCTGGGTCGACCTGCGACGTCCCATACCACAATAAAAATCCACGCAGCCAGCAGTGGGTTTCGATCGCGGTACGTTGGATTACGTGTTAGACTCGCAACGCCTTAGCCACGGACGCCGTGACACTCTCTTTTCACACATGTGTTCTTAGTGGTCACAGCATGTTTCAGTTTCCTTCTCATAACGTAACACCAATAACAACAGAATATTGAGACTGTCCTTTTCTGACGTTTGTGATAAGTTTTTATGAGCCTTCGCCTCTTTCAAAATATCTGAATTGCTTTTTTTTTTTTTTTTACTACCCAAGGAATCACAAGGACTCTCCTACAAAACGACAAGCGCGAGGTCTTGAGAAATTGTTTGGCTTTTTTAAACTAAATGTTCAGGTTTCACAGCCATATGTTAAAACTTGCTCCATTTAACTTGCGAACATTATTTTCTAACCAACAGTGACATATACTTACTGCATAAATTGTTCTTTATTTTATAAAATAGTTTTTACGTATCCCTTTCTGTTCGTTAATACATCTTGCGTTAAACGCTGTCTATGTGCCTAGATCATTAAATTTAAGTAGGTAACACATTTACGATAGCCATGAGACTACCGCGGATGTTTAACATTTACTGCATGCTCCCAACCCCGACCCCTGTCCACAAAGCAGGTTCATTTGTTTCTATTGTCCCAGCTTCCGCCAGTTTTAGTAATCGACTATTCATTGTATAGTAAACACCATCGAAAGCCAAGACGGTATTAATTACATAGCAGCGGTCAAACAAAATCTGGGTTACGTCCTGTTACTGGGTCTCTATTCAGTATGATGTATAAAATATCATAAACAATTTCACTAATAGGACAATTTGACGTATCGTTTAGTGTAAAGAACCCATTGTTTGTGCGTCATTACAGGTTGACAACTGTAGTAACGCACCTAACGAGATGCAGCTATATATGCCAGGAAATACAATTGGCAAAGTACTCATTATATCCCCAATATTTAAATACAGTAGGGAAACGCATTGTTTTGAATTTATCATGCCAGTATGTATGTATGTATGTATGTATGTATGTATGTATGTATGTATGTATGTATGTATGTATGTATGTATGTATGTATGTATGTATGTATGTATGTATGTATGTATGTATGTATGTATGTATGTATGTATGTATGTATGTATGTATGTATGTATGTATGTATGTATGTATGTATGTATGTATGTATGTATGTATGTATGTATGTATGTATGTATGTATGTATGTATGTATGTATGTATGTATGTATGTATGTATGTATGTATGTATGTATGTATGTATGTATGTATGTATGTATGTATGTATGTATGTATGTATGTATGTATGTATGTATGTATGTATGTATGTATGTATGTATGTATGTATGTATGTATGTATGTATGTACGTACGTACGTACGTACGTACGTACGTACGTACGTACGTACGTACGTACGTACGTACGTACGTACGTACGTACGTACGTACGTACGTACGTACGTACGTACGTATGTATGTATGTATGTATGTATGTATGTATGTATGTATGTATGTATGTATGTATGTATGTATGTATGTATGTATGTATGTATGTATGTATGTATGTATGTATGTATGTATGTATGTATGTATGTATGTATGTATGTATGTATGTATGTATGTATGTATGTATGTATGTATGTATGTATGTATGTATGTATGTATGTATGTATGTATGTATGTATGTATGTATGTATGTATGTATGTATGTATGTATGTATGTATGTATGTATGTATGTATGTATGTATGTATGTATGTATGTATGTATGTATGTATGTATGTATGTATGTATGTATGTATGTATGTATGTATGTATGTATGTATGTATGTATGTATGTATGTATGTATGTATGTATGTATGTATGTATGTATGTATGTATGTATGTATGTATGTATGTATGTATGTATGTATGTATGTATGTATGTATGTATGTATGTATGTATGTATGTATGTATGTATGTATGTATGTATGTATGTATGTATGTATGTATGTATGTATGTATGTATGTATGTATGTATGTATGTATGTATGTATGTATGTATGTATGTATGTATGTATGTATGTATGTATGCATGCATGTATGTGTGTATATATGTAATAAAGTATTATATACCTATTATATACCTATGTATGAATCATATGTGTGTGTATGTGCGTACGTATGTATGTATGTGTGTATGTATATACACATGTGTTAATATGTGTGTATTTTGTATGCATGTATGTATACATTAAAAAAAGAAGCATACAAAGAAAAGAAGAAGAAAGGGCAGTGAGGACAATATTAATTACAATCAATGAGAAACAATGAATTCTTCTTCAATTCCTTTATATCTTTTGTTAAAGCAATGCAGAAAAATACATAAATCTAAACTAGATATGCATGAAACACAACCTTGTTTTCTAAACAGCAGAGGCATAACATTCACAGAGATCTAATTTTACAACATCGGCGAGGATATGGTTTAGATCGTCGTGTGAACTAAATAACAGCACACAACAATGTCTCACAACTGAGTCGAAAGATTATATGGCTATGGCGTAAACTGATAAAAGAAACCAGAAAATATTCTATGTAACTTATTATGTTATATGTCGTCACATACGTCTGTGACATGATTATTTCTTTCACAAAATACGCAGATAAATCCCAAAGACCAGATTTATATGATCTGCTAGTAATATTTTAGAAAAACATATGTGTGATTCTTTTGTCTTCTGTAGTTTAAAAAAAAAAAAGACTTTTTAAGATCATCATCATGTAGCAGGTCCTTTGCAGAACGTCGCTCTCATCACAGTCTTTCTGTAAGAAACTCGGTCTCTTGCCAGTTCTCCCGCCTCATGAACTTTCACACTCAAGGAGTCACTTATATCCTGTGCCTATCTTCGTGTCGGTCGGTCCCTGCCCTTCCTTCCTGGTACCATGCCTTCTGCTATAATTTTTTCCAATCCGTCGTGGCGCTTGATATGACCAAAATATTTCAGCTTTCGAGAAAGGATGCTGTTTATTAGCCAATCTTCCTTGATGTTCTGATTTTTTAAGATGTCAATAGTTCTCATCTTCTTTGTCCGAGATATTCTGAGAATCTTTCTATAGCATTTCAGCTCAAAAGCCCCTATTCTTTTTCTTAAGGACTGAGAGATAGTCTACGACTCACATCCGTATGTAGCCACAGAGAAGATGCATGCTCTCAAAATTCTAATTTTTATCTCCTTGTTGGGGCTTAACCATATACTTTTAAGGCTGTTCAATTTTTGCATTGCTATGGCCATTATCCTTTTAATTTCTGTTGAACAGTCTACATTGTTGTTTATTATAGAGCCTAGATATTCAAAGTTTGTGACATTTTCAATTTCTTCATCATTTATTTTTTTATTTTGGGTGACACAGTTTTATCTGTGGACATTATTTTTGTTTTCTTTAAATTCAAGAACAGATTTTGATCTTCACTATGCTTTTGGACGAACAATATTAAATTTTCTATTCCCTTTACGCTGTTCGAAAGGAGGACTGTGTCATCTGCGTAGCGGAGTTCCGGAATAGGGTTGCCACCAATTTTGAGCGGATCATAACTGTCACAAGTCTGGTCATTTTTGACATTTCTCATTATATTTTCTGCGTATATATTGAATAGGTATGGTGATAGAATGCACCCCTGCCTCACCCCCTTTTGCACCTCGAACCAATCAGATGTTTCACCAGCTGCTCTGACTTGTTAAGATACACAGCCTAATCTCCAGTATTAGCAGGTGATATCATTAGATTTTGTTTTCTTCACTCGGTGTGCGATTCGCTTGATCTCTGTGATGCATGTTGTCTGTGCATGATCTCTGTGATACATCTTGTCTGTGCTCGATCTCTGTGATATATCTTGTCTGTGCTCGATCTCTGTGATACACCGTCCATCTAAAATTATCCATTTAATTGTGTGTGCGCATATATACAAACAAAATAGACAGACGCACAAAGTACAAATACACACGCACACAAATGAAGACACGAAAACACACACAAACACAAAAGGCAGAAAAACTCAGGCATCGGTTTTTGTCTCCTTTCGATTGCTATCGGAAGTTTTCATTTCGCTTCAAGAGTTACATCCTGGATGGCAGACCACGAGGACAAATTCCTAGATATCCTGTTCAACCCACAAAAAGCATTATTTTTAGGGCACCTGTAGCAACTACACCAGGCTGTAGTAGTCTGCAGTCTTGCAATGGATGTGTGATTTGGATAGACTGTGATCGAACACGTCTTCTGCGCTATTTTCCTACCTCCACGGTCAAAGGTTGGTTGACTGCCCAGCATTCTGAAGGTGTTGTGTTCTGTTTCAGAAAAAGTCCTTCAGTTAGCGAGTTAATGTATTTTGAAAAATCTAGGTGGAGGGAGTCGGTGCCGCCGCTGGAGAATTTCGTTCGTTGTGCCTCTCTTGGTGGGTGAATAGCTTTACTGAGGAGAGAGATCGAGCCAAAAGAAATAAATCCGAAACAGTAAAACCAATGTTTCCCTGCCTCTCAAAGTCCATTTGATTTGGCAGCAAATGCTTTATGTTAATTCTGGTAAAATTGTGAGCGTAGTAACATACAGAAAGCGATGGAAAACAAAAGAAAATAAACATTTTTTAGTACACAACCGCAAAACAACCAATAAATCTTCGACCTATTCTTAGCCGCCATCGGCTGTAAACTCTAGCGGAAGGTTTCAGTTTTTCATCCACTTTTGAACTTTGGTCTTGTTCCAGAGATTTAGTTTTGCATGCACATACCCTTTTAGAAATGGCCTATTTGTATGCAGACTGTTGGTTCCTTGCCTCTTAGGCAGATGCACTCCCACTTCGAAAAAAAGTCAATGAATGATGGCGTATTTTTGCGAGGTAATTTAAAGGACATGTAACTAACAATAAACATGTTTTATAAACTTCTGGACCCTAAATATAACGACTAAATTAAGACGTAAAATTTCTAAAATAGTATTTACATCTAAAAAAAAAAAAAAACATTAACTATTGGTAAATGAATCATTAGAAATATGAGTACATGACGCTTTTTAAAAATGTATAAGATATCAAAATTATCATAAAAAATGGATTGTAGTAAAATTTATGATATATTATCCACATATGCATTACATTTTTTTATATCAATATGCTAAAGGCACACATTTTTTTCCCCTAAAAGATTAGGTTAGGTCAGGAACTGGTGCAAAGGCATTCAGGACATTCCCACGTGTGCTAAGTCCTCGACTACAGCAGCCAGCAAAGAGTTATAATTCCGAAAGTATTAGTAGCAATTTGATTATTCGCCTGTCTTGCCTTTCCTATAAGCATAGAGATATGTCGAATGCCTTTGTCACCTCCCGTTCCACCATTCCCGCCCCCCCCCCCCCCCCCCCCTTTTCCCAGGACGTAAACACTTTTTTTTTTTAAACAAGGTCCAACAATTAAGTAAGGAGACTGATTTTTTTTTTTTTTAATGGCCAAGACAAAAATGCCACCAATGAAGCAAAGCATGAAATCTAAATAGGCAAAATTCATCATAATCTGGCAACTTTTCATCGCCGCTCTATAAGCAGACAACAAACAAGCCGCCATTTTGTTGACCCACTCAAAGGTGCATTGTTACGAAAGCAGCTTCTTCTTTTTCTTCTCTTCCACCTTTTACCTCATCGAAGTGTCGGGGAGAGGGGGGGGGGGGGTGTGATGTTCGTTGATGAGCTCTGTCAAGAGCACTATTAAGACTAATGTTTATTTCTGTAAGGCTGTTCTTAATGCTATCATTCCATATTTTCCGAGGTCTTCCACTCGCTCTATACCCGTTGTAACGTTTTAGTGTGGCTCGCTGTGGCGGATAGTACCAGGGCATTCTGGTTAGTTATCCAAACCACTTCATTTGTTGTTCTTTGATGACCTGTAAGACTGGCTTTATTCCTAGAATTCGTCTGATTTCCTGATTTCGTATTCTGTCTTTCCTTGAAACTCCTGCAGCTCTTCTAAGGCATTTCGTCTCTGTCGTCACAATTTTACGTTCATTGGAGGAAGTAAGTGTCCACGTTTGGCATTGATAGCATAGTGTTGGCCAAAAAATAGTTCTGATAAGATTCAGTTTAGTACTCCGAGGTATCTGCTTGTGTGTCAACAGGGGAGATAGTTGACCCATTACTTGATTAGCTTTGGCACATATGGAGCTTATTTCTCTGTCCAGTTTTCCGTCGGATGTTAAAATTGCTCTGTTTGTCTCAGGGTGTTGTTTTTTAATTTAATTTCTAAATTGTCTTTCTGTCTTCCTATCATCATTGTCTGTGTCTTCGTGGTGTTTGTTTTCATATTATATTACGAAATCAGCACGGAGCAAAAAGATAACATTATTTGTTTTCTTTAACTCAGAAAAGGCGCGATTGAAACAATTGAATTAATGCAACATGTTTATGGGGATCATTGTTTATCTCGTGCTCAAATTTTCAGGTGGTATGCACAGTTCAAAAATGGTGTGGAAATGATTACTAATGCACCTAGACTTGGATTCCAAATTTCTGTTCGTAATGATGAACTCATTGCAAAATTTAGAGAACGGATACAAAAATATCATTGTTTTACTGTGAGGATGATGGCAGATGAATCTGTTTTTAATAGAGAGACCATTCATAACATTTTAGTGAAAGAATTCCCCCCCCCCCCAACCCACCCCCTCCCCACCCCAAAAATGTGCTTGCATGTTTGTACCACATTCGTTTTCTGATGACCAAAAACATCAGCGGGTTGAGTACCCAAGAGAAATCATCAAAACAAGAATGTTTGGCCTAAAAACCAGTGTGTGATCTCAGCCTTTCACCCTATTCCCCAGACATGTCTCCCTGTGATTATTTTCTATTTCCAAAACTAAAGTTACAATTGTAAGGACGCTTCTTTAACGTTACTGATGACAACGAAAGGGCCGTCACACCGACTTTATGGGCCATAACAGCAGAAGAACTACAGAGGTCGTGCCTGTGTTTGTTAGATCGTGCCACTTGCTGTATCAATGCACAAAAGGCTTACTTTGAATCAGATACATGTTATATCTTCAATTGTGGATTATTTTAATTGTTATGGAATTAGTCTCATTACTTAAATGTTGACTTAGCTTAACTGGCGAGAGACCGAGTTTCTTTCAGGCAGACTGTGATGAGAGCGACGATCTGCAAAGGACCTGCCACATGATGATGAAGATGACTTGAATGTCGGACCGTGTATAACGTTGATTATGCACATGTCATATGAACTACAACAGTCTTTAAAAGATAGGACTTCAAGCTGACTATACATTATCGTCCATTGAGTCATTGTAATCCATCGTGTTAGTATAAAAAGCCATAATTGTCATTTAGTTAGGGACGAACGAACGAATAAACTTTATTGTCAAAGGGTTATAAATTGGGCACGCAGGCCCGTCTGACATTCTGCCCTTCTAAGTACTCATTTTTCAGAGTACTAATACCTGTTATCAATAATGCATGTTATGGATTTAATAAAGACATAATGAGCTGATAAATGTAAGTGCAAAAGAACTTTAATGGAAAGGTATGGGCTTCCTAGAACAGTTCTCCCCAAAGTGTCACTCTTTCTAGAGTGCTGGGGCAGTTAAAGAGACAGTAGCACCGAATACGGGAAGAACTGTGCATGGTTACGATTCGGATTGTTAGCAATCCTTTAAATTTAACTGATGAAGCTAGCGCCCCTACACCCACAACGAGATGGTATGGCCCACATTTGAAACACTAGCTTAACCAATATGCTATCGAGGCTACCGTTTTAATCATAATTAACTGTAGTCACTCTGTTATTAGGATGTATGCTAAACTTAAAAGTTATCGAGACGTTAAGTAAAGGGAGATGACAATGAAATATGGGTTTTTGAATGTAGGTTGGTACGCAAGTGAAATAACCGCCCATGAATCTTAACCTTTAGAGATTGTTGCGTTAATTATAAGAAAAATGGAGAAACCTTGTTGTAAATAGCCAAAACCGACTCCATCTGATCGGGCATGCAGCTGACGTCATCAAAACGGGCTACCGATAAGTTCAGTTTTTACTCGGACAGTCCTGTTTTTTTCTATGTTATCCGTGCAGTCCCCCACAAGAATTGTAGGAATAAGTTTGAGAATTTAACACACACACACACACACACACACACACATATATATATATATATATATATATATATATATATATATATATATATATATATATATATATATATATACATAAATATATATAGTTACAAACAATATGACAACAATATGAAAACTTAACGTATCGTTAGCCCGGTTTGGTGACATCAGCAGTATGGCCCGTCAGATGGAAACGGTCATGAAATAGCACTGTTAACAGAGGCACTGCAGCCAGAATGACATTTGCAAATTTCACTTATCTACTGGTTACCATTTGGGACGCGTTCTTTGTAGATAAAAAAATAAAGACAGAAATATAGATTTTCATTTTTTCAGTGTGTGTGTGTATGTGTTTGTGGGTGTGCGTGTGTGTGTTGAGGGCGCTAAAGGGGATCTTCTTTGTCATGCCTATGTTATACATTGATATAAGACCTGCAGTACACACCTGAGGAGAAACCTTGAAATAGTGTCAGTACATTATGTTATTATGTGTGTCTTCGTGTGTTAAAACTATAAACAATGGTGGCAAGTTGACCAGGTTCTATTTTCATCAATGATAGGATTAATTTTTTTTTTCTGACCTTAGCTCCCAAGCTAATACAACCTGAAATTGGTACATGGAAATCTCCTGAGAAAAAAAGTCTGCCAATGTGATGTTTACAATATAACCCGTTTAAAGAAGGTTGGTCCACACATACATGGGTCTAACTCTATATTTCCGAACATGTTAAAAAGGTCATTGACATTACGTAGAACGTCACACATATTGCTGATTTAGCTGATGCTGTTACTATAAAATAATGACGACTGTTTAACATTTATACTTTAACTGCTTCAAAATATTCGTTTATTCTTTCTTTGAGGTAAATAAAAATTGAATAATGTTAGCCTAATCAACAAATTCAATATTCTATAAAGATACAATAAATACGTAGGGTTAAAAGGTTACAAAGCAAGTTGTGCATTCTATAGACAAAATTATTCATTTATGCCAGCCAGTTATATTTACAATATGTGTTAGACTCTGTATGTACTTTACACAACACAATATGCACATTATAATTCATTCATTCAGTCTTCATATAATTAATATCAGAACTACCATTCCCAGATATCAAATCTTCGTTGGAGAATTTTAGCGCTGGATTCACCTTCCCTCCATTTTCTTTCACAAAAAGGCCGTATTTTGTCTTTTCATCCATGCTGTCTCTGGAAGCTAGAACTATATGCTCGTCTGGGATGTTGACTATGCACATAAATACATCAAACCTGCGAGGTAATTTCCCTGTCATAAAGAGGAAATGGGACAAGTGTGAGGTGGACACAAGAGTGAACAGCGTGACCAACATGGCTAAGGTTTTGTATGGGAAGCCTTGTGTTCCGGTCTCTTCGTGAAACATAGGGTATCTTATCAGCGCTGGGATCCCGATGTTGGGTTCACCTCCAGCTATTCTGAAAAACATGCCGAAGATGTATCCGGCCAGAGAGCCGTAGGTGTTTGATTTTTTCACGTAGATGACGGCTATGAGCTGGGGGAAGAGGATGACGTAGACCAGGTCAGCACAGAGGATCCAGAGCACGTAGATGGACTCCACGGTCAGTGCCATAGCCAAGGCTAGAGCGGATACACCGAAGATGGCGACACGCATTACCCACACCACCTCCCGCTCTGATGCCTGAAGTGTGAAAGATAATTATGTTGAATTAGTGAAAATAATAATTGTTATTTTCTTTAAATGACACATCCCATTTTTTTTTTACAGTTCTAATTATTTATTTACGTTTTATGTTTTTAATTAAAAGAAGAGCAGGACTGGACTAGTCAAACGATCAACTAAAGAGCAACAACAAAAAACGGATTGACAGATACCAGAAAGAGTCACTTGAAAGGAAATGAAAAGAACACAAAACAAGGAACAGATCACACAAATGATGGAACAAGACATTAATTTGAACCTTACAGGAATGAACTTCAATTTTTTCATCGCATTGGAAAGAACACAAACGGTCATTTCAAGCCCACAACACTTCGGCGATGTCAACTGAGGCAGAGAATACGAAAAACAAGAAACTGATATGAAATCTTTCTAGCAGATTGTTTCAGGTAAGAAAAGAACCATTTTCCACGCCTCCAGGGTTTTTTGGGTATATAGGTCTTGACCCATATTTTTTAGATCTGTCCTCACTTGTTGGGTGATATGGTGAACATCACCCCGACCGTCTTTACTTCCCAGGATTTGTACCTGACACCCACATAAGGCTGAGTCGACCTGGGAAGCAGGGTCATTTTCAAAAAAGGTCCGGCTCAGTTAGAACCCGAAATCACGACCTGCCGATCAGCAGTCGCTCATCTAGCTGCTACACCACGGCCGCTCCCTTTTGACAGAAAGTGGTTAATTTAAATTGTTTGTGACTTATAGAAGAGTTTTTCAAGATTACTAGACTCTAGTTCCTTAACATTTTACATCCATAAACAAATAATGCGAGTACAATTTAATATCAAAATTCGATTGTACAAAATATAGTAAAAAGTAAAGAACCCTTTTCCATGCCTTTCAGGCGTATTTGGTATATAGAGCTAGACCAGTATTTTATAGACCAAACGACACTTGGTGGGTGATGTGGTCAGCATCACGCCAGTCGCCTTTACTTGCCAGGACTATACATGGTACCCACTCACGATTGGGTCGACCTTGGAGCCAAGGTCATTTCTGAAAACAATAAATCTGACCCTTGTCAGGAACCGAGCCCACGACCCTCGGATCCACAGGCGAGCGTCTAGCCGCTAGACTACGGCGGCTCCCGTATACGATATAAGTAAAGGAAAAAGTTAAAGGCCCCTTACACGATAATAAGACATATGATGCATCACTCATATTTTTGTTGTGGTGACTTAGGAGGAAGTGACTGCAGTTACGCTGATGACAGGGGGTACGAAATATAACAATGAAGTGTGACTAGAAATCTGAACGGATGGAATGGAAAAGACTCGCGCAAATATAACCGAAGGTTTCCACCAAAGTCTTTATCAGCGAAGTACTTAATTAAAACACACTCTGTGACTAGAAAGCTCAACGGACAAGACAACAGAGCATCTAAACAGCCAAGGTCAACATAAAACCCTAAAATACGTAATAGGGAAAGAGAAGACATTTATCATTCCCTTTTTGCCAATGCCAAACTGTCAAATACTGCCTTTACAATACCACTTTTGTGGTACAGGCAGGGAGGTATTTCAGGTTGAGAATTTAGATCGAGTTGAATTCAAACTTGGGTCTCCAAAACGAAAGCCGAACGTTCTAACTGTTCGGCCAGCTGCTGATAATATGTATTAACTGCAGGAAAAGTACGTTTACGTGTAACCAATGCGTTGCGTTGCAACTGAGGTGACAGTTTTGATTCATTGATTTCAGTTTGTACATTGTCTAATGTGTCGTACTATCTGTTAAACCTAAAATGTCAAATAAAACATCAAACGCCATCAAATACTGGTACTGTTTTTTTTTAACTCTCCTGTCAAGAATATGCAAACTAAAAATTTGAGTCGTCTCGTTTCTCTCTGTCTATCTCTATGATTCATCATCATCATCATCATCATTAGGTGCTTTGCCGACTGGCGTGAGCGATCAGGCCTCTCCACAATCTGCGATCTCCTGCAGCACGTATCAGTTCGTGTGCCGACACACCTCAATGCCATGCAACAAGACTGTCAAGTCTCGTTGTCTTCCTCGATCCCTCCTTCCACAGATCTTCCCAGTGGTCACAACATGTTCTATTTTCCCTCTTCTCATAACATGGCCGAAAAATGATGAATGTCTCCTTCTGATGTCTGTGATAAGTTGTCTTCTGGCTCCCGCCTCTTTCGAAACCTCTTGGTTGTTCTTTTTGGCTAACGTATTCTAAGCATTTTTCTGTAAAACCACACCACTGAAGTAAAATGTAAAGGACCCCTTTCCACGCCTTAGTCGTATAGGGCATATAGGGCTAGACCTAAATTTGTATAGACCAATCGGCACAAGATGGGTGATGTGGTCAGTATTACTACACCGGCCGCCTTCACTTTCCTGGGACAGCGCCCGGTACCCACTCAAGGTTGGGTCGACCTAGGAGTCAAGGTCATTTTTGAAAAAAGTCTGGCTCTGCCAGGGAGCGAACCCAAGACCTTCCGATCTACGGCGATCGTCTAGCCACTCGGCCACGGCGAATCCCAACCTCACTGCCTCAAGAAATTGTTTGGCCTGCCTACCGATTGTCCAGGATTCACGCCATATGTCAAAACTGGATGCATGCAGCAAGCAAGAATTCTTTTTATAACTCTCAATGACAAGCCATATACCTGTATCTGTGTGCAACAAAAACGAATTTCGCACTTAATTGTTTAATTCAAGATTTTGCAAGCTTGCAATTAAAAAAAGTGTCAAGGGAACAAATCTGATTTTGACGCATGCAAATTATGTTCGGGATTATCGGCTTTTGCTCACGGTGTCAAAATAAGAAACCGAAAAATTAAACATATTTACTAATGACATCTCACAGAAGAAGTAGAATACTACGACAAAACAACCGTGAGTCCTAGATGATAACCATTTTTAGACAGAATAATGAGACAGGTAAAAAAAATGTAAAACATAAGATCTGTTGCTGATTTCAGCTTGAAAGTTCTGGATAATTTAATTCCCAATTTCAAGAACATTATATTAAATTCAACCATCAGGTGTTCCAATATAACTGCCATGCGATTAAATAGGGTTCCCGGATTCTGTGTCTGTGATTCTCAACCTTGTGGTGGTAATCCCGCAGACTATAATCCTTAAAGTAACGTGATACCATTATTTTTAACTATTATGTAAACTGTTACATTTTTAGGTAGTAACGTTGATTGCTAAGGGTTATTGGGGGGAAAAAAAAAGGGGGGGGGAACTAAAAGATAAGCAATTGCTAATGATCTTTCAATTCCAAAAGCATCAACATTACATACACACTAAACATATTAAATAGTATAAGTAAATTAAAAGTATTTTCCACGCCTTCAGGCGTATAGTATATATATATATATTGCTGAACCTTTGTTTTATAGACCAATCGGCACTTGGTGGGTGATGTGGTTATCATTTCGCCGACCGCCTTTACTTCCCAGAACTGTACCTGGCACCCACTTAAGCCTGGGTCGATCTGGACCTTGTGGGGACCCGAACCCACGACCTTCCGATCCGCAGGCGAGCGTCTAGCCACTAGACCACGGCGGCTCCCTATATTAAATAGCATTTCAATAATAAAATCCGAAATCATAAATGGATGTATAACAAACCACTTGTCTGAAGAGTGATCTGTAGATATTTCTGGCAAACATGGAGGCAGCTGACAAAATGGAAGAATCTGCCGATGACATGACAGCAGCCGAGAGAGCTCCTAGACCCAGGAATGTGATGACTGGTGGGCACAGGTACTGGAGAGTCATGGGGAGAATCAATGGAATGTCCTCTTTCGGAATAGGCACTTTTCCTCGCCATGCTGTTTGGTTCCAATCTGCAAACAATAGAGATTTATCATGTAACCATCCTTCCATCCTACCTCAAAAACTACGCATTCGCCAGTCTATCCACCTACCATAACCACTCATCCGCACAGTGCATCTCTCCATATCTATCTATCTATCTATCTATCTATCTATCTATCTATCTATCTATCTATCTATCTATCTATCTATCTATCTATCTATCTATCTATCTATCTATCTATCTATCTATCTATCTATCTATCTATCTATCTATCTATCTATCTATCTATCTATCTATCTATCTATCTATCTATCTATCTATCTATCTATCTATCTATCTATCTATCTATCTATCTATCTATCTATCTATCTATCTATCTATCTATCTATCTATCTATCTATCTATCTATCTATCTATCTATCTATCTATCTATCTATCTATCTATCTATCTATCTATCTATCTATCTATCTATCGATCGATCGATCGATCGATCGATCGATCGATCGATCGATCGATCGATCGATCGATCTATCTATCTATCTATCTATCTATCTATCTATCTATCTATCTATCTATCTATCTATCTATCTATCTATCTATCTATCTATCTATCTATCTCTCTATCTCTCTATCTCTCTATCTCTCTATCTCTCTATCTCTCTATCTCTCTCTCTATCTCTCTATCTCTCTCTCTATCTATCTCTCTGTCTATCTATCTATCTATCTATCTATCTATCTATCTATCTATCTATCTATCTATCTATCTATCTATCTATCTATCTATCTATCTATCTATCTATCTATCTATCTATCTATCTATCTATCTATCTATCTATCTATCTATCTATCTATCTATCTATCTATCTATCTATCTATCTATCTATCTATCTATCTATCTATCTATCTATCTATCTATCTATCTATCTATCTATCTATCTATCTATCTATCTATCTATCTATCTATCTATCTATCTATCTATCTATCTATCTATCTATCTATCTATCTATCTATCTATCTATCTATCTATCTATCTATCTATCTATCTATCTATCTATCTATCTATCTATCTATCTATCTATCTATCTATCTATCTATCTATCTATCTATCTATCTATCTATCTATCTATCTATCTATCTATCTATCTATCTATCTATCTATCTATCTATCTATCTATCTATCTATCTATCTATCTATCTATCTATCTATCTATCTATCTATCTATCTATCTATCTATCTATCTATCTATCTATCTATCTATCTATCTATCTATCTGTGCGTGTGTCTGTCCGTCCGTCTGTCTGTCTATCCGTACGTCTGTCCGTCTGTCTGTCTGGTAACCTTTATATCTGTCTGTCGGTCTGTAGCGCAACATTTAATCTTTATTGGCACAGAAGCCATTCACAAGAGATCTGCATTGCTCCCGGTCGCCTGATGCCCCATGTCAGTTTAAACTCCTTTATTGTCTTGTCCACTGTTCTTCTCCAGATTTCATTACGTTGCACACATACTTTTGTTTTTAATATCACGTCCACCGGAGAGCCGTCCTTACACAAGTGTCATGGGGTTTTCTACAAGCATGTCCAAGCTGTCTCAATCTTGTTCCTGTGATAACGTATTTAAAATATAGTGGTTGTCATTACCATACCGACAGCATTTACTAAGCAGAGTGTTTCCTGATATCTTCAGTAAAACCTCGTAAAAAGGATAACTGAAAAATCAAGAGTTGGTGTTACAAAAATGTGTTCCTCTTAACTGATTGGTCGTCTTAAGCAATTTCATGTGACGAGGTCTTACTGAACTTAATTTAGCCCTAGTCGTCATCGTCGAAGCCAGGGTTAATTTGTTTACTATTTACTACTGGGGAGAAATTTAAACATATAACTATCAAACTGTAGGGAACTATACTTGCCGCCCAGCCGCACCCTCACTCTGTATAGAAGTATACTCATTTAAATTAGGCGGTGCTTTATTAATATACTACCCCCAAACATGGGAAATCCACAGGGCAGGGACAGTCTAATATTTCAGGGGGTGGTAGATAGGCTGCATGCAGTCGTTGGACCTAGGCTGCACTCTCTCGTGGGACGTAGGTGGGTTGGGGTTAGGGTCAGTTCTGTATGTTTTTGGATTGTTTAAAGTATCAGAAAGCCGGAAAACCCAGTTTCACCACCCTTTAAAATGCTGGACTGTCATCTGGGGGGTAGAATATTAATAAAGAACCAATAAGGCGTAAGATAAAAAGCTCTTTGCCAGTGTCTTCGTTCTCAGCAGACTCCAGAACATGTCTTGCAAGACTGTTGTCTTTTGGCGGAGCTGCGACAACACGTGGCCACACCCAGTAGAGGTGAGAACTAGGCTTTGGGGGGGGGGGGGGAATCTAAGATAACATCGCAGTTTGGGCCCACAGGGAATTCAGCGCATGACCAGAGATCGCCGAAGATGTATAGCGGTACATGCAATGTTGCTCAGACATTGTAAGTAAGAAGAAACTCTACAGGGGGCATGATCAGCGGAAGTCTACCAATCATCAGTAGAAGTAGTCTCTCGTCGATAAATGTTTCGGCCCACGAGCTCCTAGACATTTTCAGAGAGTGGGCCCACCTGAGTTCCTGAGGCTCAGGGTTGATTTTCTCCTGCTGCACGTATTACTGGGTGTTATCAGACAGGTACAAGACGAATTGGTGACTTTGTAAAAGGTACTGTAAGATATGAAGTCGTTGCAGTAGCATAATTAGAGCAGTCAGCTTACCTGGACGACCAAGTTGCAAGCTTACGTTTGGTTTACCGGACACATGTTGGACTTTGTTGGCAGCTGGCAGAGGGACACTGGCAGATAATTCGGACACGATGGACTTTCAAGGGATAAGACGTTCTTTTCCACTAGAAACCCTGACCAGCTCACCGAGGCCCGTCCCCCACGGCGTTCCAATGTGTCCAGAGCCAGCTCGAGGCCCTCTCAGCAACCTCGCCCAGTTGTTTTAGTGCTCGTTTGCGCTCATTCCCTCGTAAGCCTAGTTGTTTAATGACATTGTACATTGAAGTGGAAATGAGACCTCTTGCGCCTACCTCGACGGCGAAGATACCTACTGTGTACGCTTCGTCTCTCCTCAGACCAACCGCTAAGTCACTGTATTTCTCGAGCTTATGCATATGGCTTTCGTCCATTCGCGACTCATATGGCACGGTTAGCTCAATCAGGATGAGCTGATGTTTCTCCGCAGAGTGTAGGACTATGTCAGGTCGAAGAACCGGTCGTCCGGATTAACTCAGGGTACTTTTCATGACCAGGTAGGTCAACCGCCAGTAACCAGTCCCTCGCGCAGTCTAGCATCGATGCGACTTTGTTGATTTTACCTTTATAAATCTGCCCAGCCTGAAGGAAGCGTACGGGGACTAATAAGTAAAAAGAACCGGTTGGTGTAAGTAAGGAACCACAGATACCTGCAGACGCTGCTGTAATTCCCAAGAGAGCCGCGGGTGTCGCTAGGACGATGCAACCAATGGCGGCGATGTAGGACAGAATCTGAGCTTTGAATGCAGACTTCGATGACAAGACTCGTTGGAAATATACCTAGAAAGAAACCAGATGTTAGTATCGTATGCCTTTACACACTGTTTTTTCAAATATAGTCATAATGTATTAAGTATTAGTCAGTCATTCTGAACCGTTTTGCACCATATTCTATTGATATCAGCAAGGAGAGAAATTTGTGCTAGATAGCTTTTAAGAAAACAGATGACGAAAATAAAGGATGACTGCAATGAAACATATGACAAGAAAAGTCTCTTGGTCAAAACTTTCGTAATATTTTTTCGCGTCTAATTATTCCTTCCGTTAAACATCTCGTCGCATGTTATGTAACGTTTAGCATCATCATCATCGAGATCAATTTCCACTTCTGCCGTTAAGCGTTGTAGGGAGGAATAGTTTGCAATTAATTGCTTTATGGGCAGCAATGGTTGTCGTCATTTCGTCTCGATGTAGAAGCTCTTGAATGATATCAATCCATATTCTCCTAACGTGGGCTTTTGCTTTCACTTCAGCTCTACGTTGGTAGTTGTTCTGGCTGCATTCTTACTAAATGACCAAACCTCTGATCTTCTGTTTCTCAATGACTGTTGCTGCATGGTGTTTTTCCTACAGTCTGCCTGAGATTATCATTTAGAACTTTGTCTCGGATGGTTAGGCTGGCGGCTTTTCTGAGGCATTCTACGAGGGGGTGGCAATTACTAAGTCACAAATGGTTATGGTGGGGCAGGAAAGTGTAGTTGGTAGTTTCTAAAGGTATCATTAGGTGTCAGCAAAATCAAACTTTAAGTATGTGTGTTAAGTGGCGCTAGCTGTTACATGAGAATACACAACACAGAAACAAAATGGTGACTGTACAAACGGAGTGTACCCTTAAATAACAACGTGCTGTTGTGCAATATTTTGGGTAAAAAAAGCTGCCTGCAAAGGAAATTCAATAGGAAATGCTGCCAGTTTATCCCGTAAAGAGGTGTATTGTAGACACTCTGTCAATACGCAGACGAATTAGAAGACATGGTGAACAGGATTACTGCTGGCGACGAATCATGGGCGCATCATTACCACAACTTATCGTCACAGGCATTGACCAACAAAAACATACAAAAGTGACCTTCATGAAAGCTCATGAGCAAAGTTGTTGCTCCACACTGAAGGTTAGGTGTATTTATCCTTTCAGTGTAAAGACAATGTAGGTAACAGACGCCTCTAAATGTGAACACTTCATATGGTGCTAGCCCGACAAGTATAGACTAAAAACGTTCAACTTGCGTCCGCCCAAGTGTGTATATCCAAGTGATGGAGGTTAAGTGTTATTTCTCTGAAGTCTGATTATGTGAAACAGGTTGGATAGTGACATGGCTGGTTGACTTGTTGTTTGGTTACTCGGTTAATTTTAATTTTATGGTCGATGCATTGTGACTATGTTGTCTAGATCTTATTCCAGAGCTTTAATTTTGCATGCACATTTGATTTATATACTTGTAAATCTGACTTATTTGTATGCGTACTTTTGCTTCATTGCCCCTAATTAGTCGATTTGCTTGTTAGAAGGCAGTGGTTCAATTCAAACACCCCCCCCCCCCCTTTTTTTGGAATTGTTTCCCCTATATGGGTCCCCTAAACACACTTGGAGAATTTTAGAACACAAGATTTTGGAAGTGGGAAAAAATAGCAGCTAAATAACGTGGCCAGAACATAAAACAAACATAAACAGGGGTGTAAAAGTCATAGTTACATTACCTGCCAGGGAATTCCACCGAACATGAGCAATAGGAAGCTGTCGATGTACACGGGCAGGTCGGCTGTGGGAATAGGGCGAAGCCATGTTTCCGTTGCGTTGATGGAAAAGTCGTGTACCGCTTCGTGGGTCATGGCAAAGGGCACACTGATCCACTGCAAAAAGAACCAACATAAAATCTTATCACATCAGTTCAACTAATATAGACACATACACATCATATTGGATATAGTACGGTCTGGCATGTTTCACTTTACACAGACATAAATCGATGGGGAATCCTTGACGAAATTATATATTCTCCGTCCCACGTGGGACCCAATTTTTCGTTATTTTGAAGCCCCACCATGGCTGTTGCAGGGGGTCCTAATTTAACCCAGTCTATGGGTTGAACGGGGTTTCTGTGTCCTCTGCACAGGTGATCACCATCCGAATTGTGGGGCATTGTGTCACCTGATGTTAATTGCTCGATTTATGTTCTGGTGGGGTGAAACGCCAGTCAGTCTTGACGACCTAGTCTTCTTCTTCTTTTTTTTTTTTTTTTTTTCCTACTCCTGGAATACCTTTCAAAGCCAGGACAGAAAGGATCTCTGGAACGTGCCTTTCTGTTCGCTTCGTATTTAGTACATTTCGATGCCAATATTTCCATGGTACGTCTTCTGCGTGATCGACCTCTTGCCTTATCACCACTATTTCTGCATAGCATTGCTATCTGTGGTGTCCTGTCTGATGGCAATCTTGTTACATGGCCAAATCATGCATCTTAAGCCAATGACTAATAAAGATGGCTTAATGAAACCTAATATGTAATTTAAACGTTATGGTTTATAAATTTTGAACTTAAAAAAAAACTTTTTAATACAGCGTTATGGTTTAAAAGTTGTGCTCTTTCATCTTGATTTATCATGTATCACTTTTCTCTTAGAGTGTTTATTTTGTTTTACTGGGGACGGGGGACGGGTGGGCCAGGGCCAAAAAAAAGGGGGGGGGCGCTCAACTGGGTTCTGACGCCACTGTGTGTGTATAAAAGTTTTAGGCAAAAGAAATTGAATGTCCAGTTCTGCTTACCAGACCAAAGAAGATGCAGAAGAGCTGAACAACATCCGTGTAGGCTACGGAATACAAGCCACCAATCAATGTGTAGAAAAGCGCTATCGCTGCGGAGATGATAATGGCGGGCCGCGGTTCCATTTCCATAATAACTGATAGGGTGGCACCTGTTGTAGTTACAATATATTTTTAACAGCAACATAAGTGTGTTACAATCTGGTGTACAACATTTTGTTCTACAACTAATCACAATACAATGTATAACTTGGAGACGGTCAAGCAAAAACAAGAGAAATTTTAGATGTACAGAAACAATAACATCCATTCCTGTTCAACCTTTCCAGCCCGGTCATTTAGGGAATAGTAATTGTAATGGCACTATTAGTAATGTTACGCTAAGAGAAAAACGCACATATTTTCCCCTTCCTGGCCAAAACAAAAAAGCAAATTAGAAAAGCAAGGAAAGCAGTAGTAACAGCAGCAGTGGTAACAGCAGCAGTCGTAACAGCAGCAGTCGTAACAGCAGCAGCCGTAACAGCAGCAGTCGTAACAGCGGCAGTAGTAACAGCGGCAGTAGTAACAGCAGCAGTCGTAACAGCGGCAGTCGTAACAGCGGCAGTAGTAACAGCAGCAGTAGTAACAGCGGCAATAGTAACAGCAGCAGTAGTAACAGAGGCAGTAGTAACAGCAGCAGTCGTAACAGCAGCAGCCGTAACAGCAGCAGTCGTAACAGTGGCAGTAGTAACAGCAGCAGCCGAAACAGCAGCAGTCGTAACAGCGGCAGTAGTAACAGCGGCAGTAGTAACAGCAGCAGTCGTAACAGCAGCAGTCGTAACAGCGGCAGTAGTAACAGCAGCAGTAGTAACAGCGGCAATAGTAACAGCAGCAGTAGTAACAGAGGCAGTAGTAACAGCAGCAGTCGTAACAGCAGCAGTCGTAACAGCGGCAGTAGTAACAGCAGCAGTAGTAACAGCGGCAGTAGTAACAGCAGCAGTAGTAACAGCGGCAGTAGTAACAGAGGCAGTCGTACCTCTGGTCGTAGTGATGGTGGTAGCTTTATCATTTATTTAATTTTCTCATGTTTCATGTTTTATATATATTGTATTATTTATATTATTAATTACTGTTTTGTATATATATATATATATATATATATATATATATATATATATATATATATATATATATATATATATATATATATATACATATATATATATATATATATATATATATATATATATATAATTAAATATAATTTCTTAATAGTAATTATATATATATATATATATATATATATATTTATATGTGTGTGTGTGTGTGTATGTGTGTGTGTGTGTGTGTGTGTGTGTAACGTATAATAATACTGAAAGGCTTTTATTTTCTAAATCTAAAACCTAATATTGTATAAGTTATATTTAGATAATATGTGTTAACTGTGACAATCAGCTGTATAAAGACAAATGTATATGTCTTTACATGCGAAAGCTGAAGCATTCTTTGCTCTCTCTCTCTCTTTAAATTCAAAAGTTTACAGTAACTGAGGTAGATAGGTAGGTAGGTAGGTCGGTAGGTAGATAGGTAGGTGCTTTGCAGGAAGAGAACGCTCGTCACGTTCAACCAGCATCCCCGAAGGAGAAGCTTTAGGTTATAAGTGTGACTAGGTTGTGTGCAACATATAAAATGGCTATTAGCATTGCACACCACCAAGAGCCTCGAAAAGAACCCCTGCAGTGTTGTTGCGAACAAAGCAGTTTAGTTGAGTATCCTTTACAGGACGTTGCAGAACCAACCCCAACAGCTCCAGGCTGTTGTGTGGTTTTTCTAGGCAAATTTACATCCAGTAGTTTATCAAAGCAGACCGACCCAAATACTGTCCTACCGGCGATGAGGTCGTCTACCGGCGAGTGGATATATGACTCAATCGCTTATGATGTTAAAAGTAAAAATTAGTGTCTCTAAATCAACACCTGCAAAAGGCGGGAGAGCAGCAAGGATGGGGGCGCCTTCTTGGTGAAGCGGTAAAGAATTTCAGTCGCGTGATCTCAATGTCAAGGAATGGGTTTCTTTTTCTTTCTTCTGACATCCCTAGAAATTATTCACTGCTAGATATACGGAAGTTCTGAACCATACGTTGTAGTACACCAGAAAACGAGCTCGTATTGGCAAAAATCTCTCTATAGTTTTCTGCGGTCATCCTAGAAACAGGTTTACGAAATATGCCCGCAAAAACCTTAGCCCAGGAACAAAACTAAAGTCCAGGCGTGGACGAACAGCCACTACTTTTCGTCGCAGTTTATAGCCGCAAAAGATAAGAAGAAGATGATTCACTACTAGAGCTACGAAGTTATGTGCGTGGTCAGTCGAGCTGTAAAGACAAGCCAAGTCATGTGAGGTCAAATCTGATGGCAAGAAGAAGATCCTATTGCCCATTAACGTCTTCTTCTTGGCTTCCACCGGTTGTAAACTTCGGCAGAAAGTTCTGGTTGTTCATCCACTTCTGGCCTTTAGTCTTGCCCCATAACTTAGGTTTTAAATGCACACCCGTTTCAAAGAAATGGCTGACTTTAGGCAAACTATTGCTTACTTGCTTCTCAGAGAGCTGCACTCCGACTTTGAAAGAAACCCCTAATTTTTACGACATATTTGTTGGCAAAGAGGATTGGCAGCAGTGGGTCTATTCTTGTTTGCCTAAAACGGAGCCCCGGAACCCCCCTCTGGGAACCTATACTCATCTACTCCCCCTCCCCCCCCCCCCCCACTACTTTAATTCTTTACTGTTTTTGTTTGTGAGATTGTTGTTGTCAATTTTCTAGATAGTCAATAACTGTTTGTGACATGAAAACTACCAGATTTTAAAAAGCCTGCTGCCATGTGAACTCTTTGAATTGGTTTCCTTTTCCGTGTGCACTGGAGCGATCATTAAGAGTGAGAATTATCTAGGGTCAATTACCTAGTGAGCTCGTTAAACGTTTAGTATTACAGGGGCAGTTAATGCTTTGTTAAGATTTCATTTGCTTCACTGATTCTGGTTATATAGACATGCCAACAGTAATCAATGTTACTTTTTGTTCCGCTCTAATTGTCACTATACCTGAGATAGTGCCACAT